AAAAGGTAGGTCATGAGCACTCACACATATACTCTTTCAACCACACACACTTATTCACTAACTGGTTCAACTTCTATCAGGATCTGTCTGAAGAGGCAGTGACCGGGATTCTCTCAAACCTTAAGATTCCTGAGTACAGGCCCTTAGAGAAAGTAAGTTTCTCCATTGATCTGGTCCTTAATTTCTTTCTGATCTTAAAAAAAAAAAATCCTAGTCTTGTTGACTGTTGTTTGTTGTGGATCTGTCCCGTCCAGTGTATAGAGACGGATGAGACGGCAAAGAAGCCTGATCAACTGAAGATGCCTCTGAGCAGTGAAGAGGAGAGGGAGGCCATCACACAGCTGGAGCAAGCTATTGCTACTGACAGCGCCACACTGGGTACAAAAACAAAGACAAATACAGCTAAATTGCAGTAATTTGTTTTTCAATAAACAACAAAGCTACTCTACCTAATTTCTTTTCAGCCACTAGAGGGTCTAGTGAGACTCAAATAAACGGACAGAAAGATGCTCCTAACTACTCTGTGCCCCTCCTATCACGTCTTCTTTCCTCGCAACAATGTAAACTAGGATGCCTGGTTGCAATATTGTACAAAATACAGCCTGCAGTCTGAAGCTAGTGTTAGCTGACTAATAAGTAATCTAATAGAAGATTGGTTACTGCTAATGTAACACAAAGCATCAACTTTACAAAAAGCTCATATTACCCCCAATTTAAAATCAAGACCACGCTAGGTCGCTAATGTTACCAAAACAAGCATATTAGCTTTCAATGCTAACACATCCAGAAGCAAAATCTGAGTCAAATTTGAATCCTTTGGCTGATTTTAACAAAAGCCAAACCAATAATTAACCCTGGTTTTTGCTCTGTGCCCCACTCTGTCTGTGCAAAAGAACACAATTTCTTAGGTCTAACGGCTACTGTTTTGAAATGTTAGCAGTCAAAGGATCCTTCATGGCTGGCTGTTTGAAATGAGTACTTGAGATTTCAAAAATGATTCTTAAAACCTTCACTAGGTGGCAGGCTGGGCTAATTTACAGGATGTGTCTTTAGTGAAGCTGGAATCCTAACAGAAGCACTGTAGGCAGCAGTGTGTCATGGAAGGGGCTAATATAGTGGAGAAACACCACGTGTTGTCTCATTTTTCACTTGATTTTTCAGACAGTGTGTAAAATCTTAATGCACCTTTAAAATCTCATTGTTATATTATGTAACAAGTGTGTGATAAAGAGTCTGTTTTCTCATATATTCTCTGTAGAGTGCTTACAAATGAGTCCGCTACAGTTTGAAAAGGACGATGACAGTAATGGTCACATGGATTTTGTTGCATCAGCATCTGCTCTCAGAGCAAGGATGTACTTAATCGAGCCAGCTGACAGACTCAAGACCAAACGCATCGCCGGCAAGATCATCCCTGCTATCGCCACGGCAACAGCTGCTGTGGCTGGACTGGTGAGAACAGTCACTCAGTGCACTCGCTCACTATAACTCACTGTTATGTGTTCTGTCTTGCAAAAATATTTAAACTATCTTTTCAAGAGGTCAGAAATTAGGAAATTAAGAAAAGACAATTTTTTCTATTTGCAGATATGGAGGTTTGAAAATTTGCATATATATCAATCAGTATTTTTGTCTAGTCATTCAGACTTATTAGGATGTCGGTGAACATACATTTGTGGTCCGAAGTTTATATACACTTCTGCTTCAAGTTACCAAACATGTCTTTTGGCAAATCAGTTAGGGTGTCTACTTTAACCAGAACAAAGTTTTCCCACAGTTGATCAGAGGCTCATTTATTTCACTTATAATTTACAATATCAGAATTCCACTGGTTTACATACACTTTAAGTTCACTGACTCTTTAAACAGTCTGGAACCTTCAGAAACTTGATGTCATGAATTTAGAAGCTTCAGATAGGTTAATTGTCACTATTGGAGAGTGGGGGGTTTGCTGTGGCTGTGTTTTAGACCTGTTCTCTCAACTATTCTATTTAAGTTTTCCATCATCAAAATAAAGTATTTGGACTAAGTGAACTGACAGAGGGACAATATATTGAAATGAAATGTTCAGAATAGTTAAGTGAATTGGGATGCAGTTAACCAAGCTGTATGTAAACTTCACACCTCAGCTGTCTATACTGGAAAGTGTGGTTGAATTGGTGAAATTAATTCCACTGTTTAATATCAATAATATATCCTTAATTTTGTGTTATTTTGATGTAAGGTGGCCCTTGAGTTGATCAAGGTGGTTGGAGGCTACAGGTTTGAATCTTTCAGAAACTGCTTCTTTAACTTGGCCATCCCTGAAGTGGTGCTCACCGAGCCTGCCCCAGTGAAACGGACACTCATCAGGTACAGGTTGTCCATCTTACCGTTTTTCACACTATTTAAATGTGAGAAACAGTTGTTTTTTTTTCCTGGCAGGATAGCATTGCTATTTGGGGTTCCAGGTGTGTTACCCATATTACCACACCTTACTATATTGCAGCATCAACAGAAACTGTGTGTAAGATTGAGTTGCAAGACGGCAACAAATGCAGAGTATTGACCACTCTCTGATGTCTTTCCCAGGGACAACATATATTTCTCCATCTGGGACTGTTGGACTGTCTTTGGCCATGAGGACTTCACTCTATCTGACTTCATGAATACAGTGGGGGTGAGAAAACATTGCTCGCTTGCATCTTACTTTTAGTTCATCTCTGTGTTGTGTATTATTGCCAAACAAAATTTTTTTTTCATAACTTGTTTTATGTCAGGAAAAGTATGGTATCGAACCCACTATGGTCGTTCATGGTGTGAAGATGCTCTATGTGCCTGTGATGCCTGGACACTCGAAGAGACTCAAAGTAACGTGAGTGCCTTACCTAGAAACGGGTGTTCTTTTTCCTGATGCCCCAAATATTTTTTCTTATATCCTAAATATTATATTGCTGGACCTAAAGGTATTTGGCAAAGCATATCAAATGTATCAGATCTTGTTTTTGTGCTCTTCTAAACTAATGGGAAATGATTTTTAAATGATTCATGTGTAGTCTAAACTGAACAGATGTAGTTAACCCTGTCTCTGTCTCTCTAGGATGCAAAAGCTGATCAAGCCATCAGCGGACCGTCGCTACGTCGACCTCACCGTGTCATTTGCTCCAGAAGCAGATGGAGACGAGGACCTCCCAGGTCCTCCTGTCAGGTATTACTTCAGCCACAATGGTTAGATGCCCTGACATCTTCCTAGATGTCATCCTCAAACCTCTTGTGTCCTTATTTCCCTTTGATGTAAATTGTCATACCCCAGTAAAGTGGACCAGGGCCAAGAGCTTGCCCTCTGGATGTTATCTGACAAGGGAAAAGCTCTTGGCCCCTGCACATGCCCCCTCTTTATCCTACATGGAGCAAGACAGTCCTGGTCCCAGTTTTTCTGTCCTCCGATCTAGCCTGTGGAACAAGATGCTGCTTGAATAGCACTTAACAGTACCTGTGTACAAATATTTTCTTTCTGTTTTATACTCTGGGGAAACACGCAGCTCTGCCTGTGTCAATGCCTTAATTGATAACCTTTTTCTGTTTGTGGGCAGTGAGTCTGACTAAACTGTTTACAAAAACCTGCATACTCCCATTAATCTCATCTCTGTTTTAAATCTATTAGGCCTTAAAGGGCTTTGGGGGGTAGGACTGTTGGGGCGCTGAAGTGACTTTGTCTTCCTCAGTCCCTTAATTGGCTTTGAAAATCTTGCCAGTGACAGAATTTGCCAGCGGTCATCTCCCCTTACAGCAACATGTCAAGCTAGTATTTATTGTATAAGTTTAAGGTGTGACAGGCAAAATCACCAAAGATCCTGATTATCATTGTATGCAGATTGTTCTCTTTTGACCACCTCATAAATACACATTCATAGCACAGGGCAGGAGTAATACCCAGATGTTAAGGAGCAACACGTACCACTGCGTCCTGTTGTGCTTCATTACAGGGTTGATGTCAACTCTTTGGGATACATCACTGTGCTATTGACAAGTATCAGTGCTTCAGAAAAGCAGCTATTTTATTGCATTGCTCCCAGTCCACTGATGTACGTACATGCAGTGACACAGCTGATGCGTGTTGCGCTTTACAGTAGGGTTAAAACCACCTATTAGCTATAGCTACGAGTCTTACCTGTCTTATGAAATGCTTAACTAATGACTGCACTAACATCAGTTAACACATTTGGGTGAACAATATGTTCTTTATTAAGTAGCATTCGTTCAATGGCTGTTTCCACAAAGGCAAAACAGCTGTACAAACATCTGGGATCACACTCCTATTGTGTTAAAACACCTTTAAAAAAAATCATTGCTATTCATGACTTATGTTGCATTTGCTTATGGATGTGTGTCCATGACTTGTATTTATTTGTTACTCATTTTTGTCACTTTGTGTCAAGCTGAGCCTGTGTTGATGCGCTCTGACTCATGGTGCACTGGTTAATCAATGCTGAACAAAAGTTGTCCTTAAATTTATGATGGGGTGTGAATCACCTTTCTGTTTAGGTCCACATGAAACTTATGTAAAGGGTCATTGAAATGGTCTGCATTGAGATATACAGGCAATAATGTCAGTGTAGTTTTGAATGGAATTAGTTGTATTGAGATTGAGATCCACCTGAAGATGCAGTCCACTTACAGGTTATCATCTGTCTTCAAAACAACTGAGATTAAAGTCACACAAAATACTGCAAGACCACATTTATTTCTCTGCCCATGATCAGAGGTGATGAATTTCACTTTGCACAGACATCTATCATCTTGACAATACATCTAGTGCAGTGAATGTAATAAGTATGAAACAAAACCATGTTAATGAGTGACAATGATAATTATGTATGTTCTTGTGACAGACAACTCAACTAATGGTCCAATAAAACGTGAGATTTCAGGATGTTCCCGAGTCAAAGCTGCTCCGAGTCTTTGTTTTAATGAATCACAGAGCTGAAATGATTAGTCAAAGGCAAGGCAATTAATTGGCAACTGTTCTGATAATCAAATAAGCTTTTCAGTAATTCTTTCAAAGGAAAAGTTGTAAACAAATGTCAGACATTCTCCAGGTTTAAATTCACACACAAGAGGATTTTCTTTGCCATGTATTGTTATAAACTGATTCTTTTTAGGTTTTGGACTTTAGGTCGAACAATAAAAGATTTTTTTGTTCATGCATCTTGAGGTCCGGGAGGTGTGATGGGCTTTTTTTCTTTCAATGTTTCATAGACTAAACAATTATAACCTACACATTAACAAATGTTGAAAACAACTGTTGGCTGTTTGTTGACAAGTGTTCAAAATAGACTTTTTAAAAATAGAATAAAAACATTTCATTTTATTACATGAGTGTCATCTTGTGTATAATATCATGACTAGTACTGTGATATCAGTAATAAATTTATATTAAATGTTTTTGACACCACATGCTAGAAAACAGAATAGTAAACGTGATATTTCAGAGTTCATAGTGCAATCAGACTTGGGCTTCTTACATTTCATTGCTGCCACTGTAGTGATTACAAATAAATATTTTAGTATTTATTTACATTACCATTTACAGGTATACCAGGTTTTCGAGCAGTAACATCATGGTGTTTGATTTGGACTCAAACATTAAAACATTCACATTATAGATCTAGGTCCTGCAGGTTCCCCCAGCTCGGTCCCACCTTGACTTTGGCCTTAAGCTTTACATAGAGTTTTACTGCCGACTCCATCTCCCTCTTGACTATCTGTGCAACCTGACAGAAAGGAGTTGGGAGAAAGACAAAGACTAAAGTATATGCAGGAAATGCACTGCATCAAAGAACAAAGCCATGCAGAAATTTTTGTACGGGTTATTTCAGACACTTTGTCAGGTTCATTGTTAAAAGATAGAATAGTATTTTCAGCACTCTCCATACAGAGGCTAAAACCAACAATGAAATGCCTCTACTCACGGTTGTAGATCTCCGTTGTTTTTCAAAAATGATTAAAAACACATCAGGGAAACGCACTGTTGTGCTGGGCAACTCGTTTTTTATCTAACGAAACCCCACGAGTCAGAGTCACAGGTGCATGCGTGAAATTTTGTGTAAGCTGCTTTGCATTCATCATGCTCAGGTCTGGGTTTTGCTAATTAAGACACATCACCCAGTACAGCGGTGTGTTTCACTGATGTGGTTTTAATCCTTTTTGAACAACAACAGCGGTCTGTGGCACAGATGAATAAGCTGATCCAGGACTGACACACTGACCAACATTAAGCGTGGGTACAGGTTTGTCTCTATATGGAGATTGCTGAAAATACTATTTTATTTATTTTAGAGTTAAGGATATATATATTTGTTATAACTAATCTTTGTCAGTCCAGAAGTAATAGCTGTTTCCCTAAGCAAACACATTCACCATGGACCACAGAGGAATTCATAATTGAGGAAACTGCCCATACCTGTATGAGATCTTCCTCTGTGGTTTCATAGATGAGCTCATCATGCAGCTGCAGGACAAAGTAGGCTCCTCTGAGATGAGGCGTCCGAACCCGGCACTGATTGCTGACTGTAATGGACAACGCTGACATGATCAGACAGGTTTTCAAATGATACAAGGGGAAACGCTGCCTGCCTGCAGTGTTTGACTGAAGAAAGTTAAGTGTGTGTCACCTGAGCGTGTGTGCTGGTGAGACAGTGGAGCCTCAGGATAGATTTCTTGCAGTCGCTTCTGGATGTTCACAGTGGCAAGTTTAACTATGTCTGCAGCTGAACCCTGGACAGTTGTGTTCACTGCCTGACGCTCTGCCTGGATGAGAGAGAAAGACAGAAAAGGTATGAGGTACGGACAACATAAAAAAATAAAAAATTCACAAATATATCACATACCTTGGATTCTCATTCTTTACCTGAGCTTTGATGTGCGCGTTGGTATTAGTGATTCCAGGTAGGTATCTCCTACGGCCTGTCAGAGTCTGAACATAACCGTTCTTTATACAGTTCTTTACTGTCTCTTTAAGGAAAGCACTGATCCCTGAAAAACAAGAAAACAGGACATGGACATTTAATTTTTCTGACAATTTACTCAATTGACGTGTTAATATTTATGGAGACCCATTTTTGAAACTTTATATGTATACCCAGTTAGCAGTTTATTAGATACACCAAGTTAAAACTAATGCAATCTAACAACAGTATTGCAACAGATCATCCATTCATGAAGTTAATCAGTTTTGGTTTAAACTGTTTTAGAGGTACTGATAAAACTGGATAATTAATTTGGTGGCTGAAGTTTGTGGTGGTGTTAAACTGTACTACATTATACAGAGAAGTGTTTCCGCTATTTAGCCTCATTTTTAAACAAGGCTGGACTAAATATAGGCTCCGTTTCTACAAAACCTGAACATTATCACCTTCAGAAAGGAAGGATTTATTGTAGGACTGTTTAGACTGCATGTGTTTTAGCTAAGTGTACCTAATAAACTGCTGAGTGTACCTAATAAACTGCTGAGTGTACCTAATAAACTGCTGAGTGTATTTCGATATTCAGAAAAACAAACACAAAAAAAAAAACAGGACGTACAAACAATTAGATGTGTATGTATAATGATATAGTGTCATTAAATGAACACACTGCAAAGAATGGAAACCACAATAGTATATACCTTTGTATCTGGCATTGAAACTTTCTATGTAACAGGCTGCATCGTTCTCCTCCACTCCCATTTGCTTTCCCAAAGACTTGGCTCCCATCCCGTAGATAATGCCATAGCAAATCTGGAGAGACATACACATACTGGTGAGCCTTCCGGTGAGACTGTGTCCATATTATTGTCTCCTTCCGCCCTAGGTGTACCTGTTTCGCCTGTTGTCTAAGGTTGTCGTTTACTGTCTCTGGGTCAACACTTTTCCACTCAGCAGCAATGCAGCGAAACACGTCTGCTCCTCCATTCAGCACCTGGTCGACACACGGGTGGTTAAATATTTGTTTACCAGTTCTCTGATGTTTCACTATATTTATAAGCCTGTCGAAATCATTACCTGTAGAAGTCGTCGATCCCTGGATAAGTGAGCCAATACCCTCAACTCCAGCTGGGAATAATCGGCTGCTAGTATCATTCCACCTATCGTACAGTGCAAAGGGACAAAGCTGTGTGGGGGATCACCTTTTATGTCTTTTATGCCTGAAACTGTATTTCAGACGGAAAAGGTGATCCCCCACACAAAACAACTATATCATCATAGTAACCTGAAAAAGGTATAAAGGTGTGTCTCATCCTGACTGAGAAGGCTGGGCCTTGTTCTGTAGTCCCAGCTGCAACTGAAGGCATCACAGAACATCTCTTCTTTCTGTAAAAAGAACAGTAACCATATAATTAGATCTGTCTTAATAAGCGTTAGTTGAACTCTTTGGGCCCTATTTTGAGTATCCACTGCGTCTGATCAAAATGTATTAGCACAAGCGGTGTTTGGGGGTATCCATGTTTATTTCGGTAATTTGATGATGAGACAAAGCAGTTCAAGTGCCCCAACACGTAGCAAAAGGAATGTACTTGATCTTCTCATTAAAGGAGGGGTGTGTTTGGGGTGTAACATGCAATTATTGTGCAGGTAAGAAATTAGAAAACACAGATGTGCTCTGGACAGATCACCACAGCCTACAGTTTGCTAGCTAGCTACCTATGCCTTTGTCCCAGAAATGCATCTTTCCTACATGTTCTCCCTTAATACATCCATGATGAGGACACACGGTACATTTCCGCGATTGTGTGCACTTTCGGTGTCTTTACCCCACATGCCCAGCGTTTCAGAGCAGAGAATACTCCTTATTTTTTCATGATTTTGAAACCTGCTTTTATATGCTTGGAGATATTTTTAATCATTCATTGTCTCTCAAATGCTCCCTGACTGTCTCATGACCCCACTTTGAGAATCACTGGCTGGCAGTACCTACCCTGGTCTGGTGGTCATTTGGCAGCCATCGCGTGGGCTCTCATCCACCTCCATGGGCATGTAAATCTCAAAGTCTTTGGGGACGTTCTGTATGTTGGGCTCAGTGAAGCTCACTCTACCTAACAGCAGAATGAGCTGGGTCACTGCATGCTTTATATTTACTTCAAATATAATTGTATTGCATTACAAAAGTATGTGTTTACCTGTGACATAAAAGTGAGTCAACAGGAAATGCATTGCATATGGTAAAGAGGGGAGCATGTAGTGTCTTAGTGTATCTATGTACAGAAGTGTTTTACCTGTGGCTGTGTGTGTCTGGACAATGGGGTATATTCTCTCCATAGCCAGTACAGGGTGGTATCGTTTCTCTCTCTGCAAGGGGAACACCACTTTAGTCAAGGCGTTAGTGATCCGCCTCCACTCCAGAATCACCCCTGGCAACAGGTGCAAGGGACGAAGCTTCTCCAGAACATCCTGCCAACATCATTTCAGTTGATTTTAAACACTAAAGACATTTCACTTCCCAGTTATTACATTATCATTACTTGATGACAACAGTAATAATTTTGTGTAATGCAAAGTAGCTTTACCTTGGTGGTACTGAACTGCTTTCCAAGCCTAATTCTGCCACCACCTCTCCTGGTGTAGCCCAAAGTCTTCTTACTTTTTGATCCACTCGCATCACCATTTGGAGGCAGGTGGAGCTCCAAGAACAACACCTACAGGATGCATGTGAGTATATACAAGTTTCAAGGCAGTAACTGCTACTGTGCTTTGCTCTGTTAGAGAAATTTGAAATTCTGTTCAAAAGCATGTCTGGGATAGGGAGGAACATGCACTGAACCTGTGCTATGTCATCGATGCTGGTGAGGGAGAAGGTGTGTCCAGCCAGGCTGTAAGCCTGAGATTCCAGCGCTGTGAGTTTGGCTTGCAATATATGCTTTTGTCTCTCACACTCTTCAACGCTGAAGCCAAATCCATTCAATTCCAACAGAGCCAAACATACCTGGGAAGGCATCTCAATGCTCCTAAATAAATCTGACACATGCATACAACACATTAAAACAACAGCAAAATCACTAATGTTCAACACAGTTCTTCCAACTGCTAAAATACTGTATGATTAACTGTGCACTGTTTATACCCAGCATGCCGTCTTTCTCCAGCAGGCCAGTCAGATGATTCATGACAGCATGTATGAGCACACTCTTTGTTGCTGCCCTAACACGAGGACAGTGTGCATGCAGCAGTCCATCCACCAGAGGCAATTCTTCAGGACAGTACACAGTCACCATGTTGGCTAGTGTCCTCTCCTCACTGCCAGGATCCACCAGCCAGCACGCCACCTACATTCAACCGAGTCTGATATTTTATCAAAGGTTCATAGGAGGACAGTGAAGGATTTTGTCATCATTCTATGTGTGTGGGTCTGTGGCTTGGCAGGTTAAGTGTTTGTTAGTATATTCTTGTACTTTACTATAATCCCATGCCACTTGTTGCTGTATGCACATTGCATTTACCTGTAATAAATGTTATATAAATAACTCTGCCATGTTTTGCCCTGCCCTTCCAGTTGTATTTTAAATGAACACCTGAACTGAAATAATGAAGATCTGAGTTTCTGAATGCCTGAATGTGAAAGCATGTATGGTTTTCTCACCTTGGGGTCTTCGCAGTTGCCCTCCAAGGTGATGCCACAGCTCAGGACTAGCATCTTATACACCTGGATGATGTCATATGTGACAACCACACCTCCTCTATGACCCGCCAATGGCCTGCTCAGACAGGTCTTCACCTGCTCCAGCCTCTCACTTACTAACAAATCATCATCAAGGAGAGGAGGGGCCAAGCTGGAGCTCAAACCTGAGGGGGTAACAGACAGGCTAAACTACAGATACACTTTATAGGACTGAGCTTGTGCATGTATGCATGTGTCAGTACCTTTGCTCTGCTCTTTCTGCAGAGATATGTAGTATGCATCTCTCGCTCCCCAGCAGAGAGACAGTCCAATTAACACCAGTCCATCACTGTCAATTACTGGAAAACCATCAGCCCTGTTAAGCTGCCAGTGAGCTGCTGACACTGTACAGATAACACATGCGTGGATGAGGAGACTGCATTCAACACATTTCGTTTGAGATACAACAACTGGTACTGTAGGTGATGAGGCAAAAAAGCTAGGGTCAGTACTTGGCAATTTATATCACTGTAGGTTAATGTCACCTTTGTGGTTACCTCTCTTGTGTTTCCCTCCTATTTCCTCCTCAGACTGCTGTCTTTGCTCCCGCATTTCACAGGCCAAAGCCAGAGAATACCGCTCCTTTGTTTTCCACTCTTGAATGAAAGTGTCAAAGAGGTGCCTGTCACTTGCTACATCTATAATGGAGAAGGTCCCAGAGTTGCTGGAACAGACCGATACATCCTGGGACAGCTGAAGAGTGAAGCCCTCATCAGCCACAGGTGAATCTGTATCAGAGGGAGGCTTCGGTTGGGGGGAGGATGGTGAAGCACAATCCCAGGGAGGACTGACGTTCTGGTCAGTATGTAGCAGAGGACCAGACTTCAAGTCAGGTTCAGGTAGAGTCTTCGGTTCCCATCCCACCTGGTGTTTGTGGTGGTGATCTAATGTAAATTTTAGCTGTTTATTGTCAAAAACAGCTTTTGATAGATTCCTGTGTCCTGGGTGAAATTTAGGACATTTTGGGGCTGCTGACTGCTGTGGAGGAAGGGGTAATCGAGTCAACTGGTTATCCTGGGAAGGTGGAATAAGGTCACCAGCAGAGCCTGTTCTCTCAGCGACATGGTTAGTGTCATGTCTTGAGGGTTGCACAAGTTGAGAATCACTCTCAGCAGTAGATTGCACATTTAGCTTTCCCCTTTTTCGGCCCACTTGTTTTGAGGGCTGAGGTAGGTTTGGAGCTTGCACTGTGTTTGTAGCATTTGTGAATTTTTGAGTAGCTGTGTGGCCTGCTGGAGTGTTTTGCCAGGGCTGGTCAGACATGCTAGGCCAGAGGTCAAAGATCTCTTGTAAACCAGGGCTGCAGCGAGGAGTACTTTCAGGCATAGTATCTGACAATAAAACAGTCAGTTTTTTCTCTTCTTTTTCCTTCTCCTCCTTGCTTTCCTTTTCTACCCTCTTTCCATTTTCACCCCTTTCATTTCTCCTTCCCTGTGCCCCGTCTGGTTTATTGTTATTTTGGCCACTAGTGAACTGCTTAACTTGGCGTGTATGGCCTCGATTAGTCTTGTCTTTGCCCTTGGTGAGCTCATGTTGAGATGTAATGCAGTCAGGCTGTGGCTGTAACTGACTGGGTTCAGACTGTGAATCTGACACACGTTGCTCAGGCAGGACACACTCTGCGTTGGGTTGGAATGCTCCCTGCTCTTTTTGTGTTTTCTCTGAATGTCTGCGGTGGCTCTGCCTCTCCAGGAAATGTTCACCCACCAACAGCATGTCACCCCACTCTGACAAGCTGAAGGACGACTCGCCCCATTGGATTGCCTCCTGCTTGTCCGCCTCTTGGTTGGCGAGAAGCTCACTGCGTCGTCGCTCCTGGGTCGACAGAAGAGGCAGCTCATCTTGGATGCCCTGGCCAACACATTCCTCTTCGTCTGATTGCTGAAGGTTCTGATGTGGGCTCAGGCTAGCCAGCAGGGAGCTATCGAACAGACTGTCAAACAGGAAGCTACTGCTTCTGTTCATACTCTCAGAAGCAACCTGGTTGCCATCATCACTACTACCTTCATTTTCATCACCACCACCAGGACCAGGAGAAATCTGTGAAAACAGGAGCATATCCTTATTAATCAGGCAAAACATTTGTATTTCCTGTTTACAATCCTTATAATTGATGACTTTTGTCACCTGGTGGCTGGTGTTAAGGATGAGTTCCATTTGGCTCTCTGTGAGAGAAATACTGAATCTGGGACATGCTTTGTCAGGGGCTTCAAGCTCATTTCTTCTGTGATCTGTGTTGCTCTCCATCTCAGCAGCTGTCTCTACCATTTCATCCTCTCTTGTCTTTTCTGTTTCTACCAACTGATTCATACTTCTACCATTCCCATTTCTGGATTGGATTGTCTGTTGAATAATGATTTTTTCTGTCTGAGTGTCCAATTCAAAACTGTCCCCAAAACTCTCTTCTCCTTTTTTAACAACTCCTTGGACTTCTTCATATCTCTCTTCTCCTGTGAATAGCTCAGGAGATGAGAACTTATCTATTTCCTCACCCTCTGTCCTTCTTCGCTTGGCCTCAGGAGAAAAAAGGGGAACTGAGGCAGGAGAAACAGACTGAGGAGAATCTAATGTGTCTGCATTTGAAGGAGCAGAAACTGTGGGGGGAGTTTGTGGCACATGGTCAGGCACTTGAACAGTGGTAGGCACCTGGACAGAAGGTGTAGGGTCGTGGACAGAGGCCAGGCAGGAAGTCTGCCTAGTTTCTACATTATTTTGTAGGCTTTTGTCAGTTTGTATGGAGTGGAGGACTTTTCTTAGGGCTTGCATGTGCTTCAGTCTACCTAGTTGGAAAGGTGACACAGGAAGCCCTGTGATACCATCTCCTTTTGCTGTCCTTGTAGAAGCATTTAATTGTTCTTCTACCCGGGATATTGGTGCTCTAAAACGAGGAGGTAGCTCTGGAGAAGGTAAAGGCTGAGGATGTGGCAGCAAAGAAGGAAGACTGGAGACAATATCAGCCAATTCCTGTGTCAGGCTCCTTTCAGGAATGGGTCGTTTTGCTTGTTGACCCCCTGCTCCAACTGAGACTATACCTTCACTTTTCTCACTTTTCATGCCTTCTCTCTCCTCTGATTTTTTGCACGGTTCCTTCTCTTGCTCTGACCTTATGTACTTTTTTCCTTCTCTTATTTCATCTGTATTTTCAGTGTCATTTGTCATGCATAATTTTGTATTTGTCCCTTCTTTCTTTGTTACTTTGTCTCTTTCCACTGGCAATTCATTATCTCTTACTCCAATTTCTGTTTCTCTGCTGCCTTCCTTTTTGTGGTCCTCCAATTTTCTGTTGATTTCTGTCTCCTGAGGTTTGAGCTCCCCTGCCTCTCTCCTGACTTCTCCCTTTGGCTTCTCAATTTTCCTTTCAGCCATTCTTTTCTCTTGTTTATATTCTTCCTGAATCTCATCTCTATGCATGTCAATATTCCTACTCTCACTTTTCTTAAGCCTGTCTCTCTCCTGATAATCTTTACTCTTTTCTGCCTTTGGTTCTTGTGCAGTGATGCAGCCAGATGAGTTGGCAGAGTCGCTGTTGTGATGGTTATCAGGGCTGTTGCCAGTAGGTGCTTCAAGAGGAAGTGTGGTTGGGTCCCACTGTACTCCTAGCTTGGCCAGATCTTCCTGAAGGAGGAGCCTTGCCTCGGACACTATCTCAGTTGCTGCTTCCTGTTCCGTCAGGGCCCGTCCACCGCTCACCCAGACGCAGCGGAGGCTCCGTCTCTCAGCTGCCTCCATCTCACTCTCATCTACTGCGCGTTTGGAGCTGAGGAACAGTAAAATACAAGCTTCAAAACTGGGGTAATATTTCAGGGAGATTATATATGTGCTGATGATATAGTTGTACATGCTATATACAAGCTTAGCTTGTAATTGGGGTTTACAGGACTGAACCTGCTCCTAAGTCTTTAAGATTTCCAAAGTAAGGGAGCATGTTTGCAGTAGCAGTGTAACAGTATTTATTTATGGGTATATACTTTTATTTTATATTTTTTAATATACTTGACATATTCTGGGACAGATGTATTTTTGATTTTGTTTTCACTGGGTACTTCTGTTGTTTTGGGCATATTTGTACAGATATTTATAGCAGGTTTGCTGTTTAAAAGTGCTCAGGGAATGCCAGTATATTCCCCCTTAACAGACCAATTTAAATATGTCTAGTTTTTAATTACAACTTCTTTACTTCATCATAAAAATCGATATGTGTAAGCTAGGGGTGTAACGAGAGCTGGTGATATTAAAACATGACGGTATTTCTCATCGAGGCATAGCAGCCAGTATGACAGAGTGTGATGGCAAAGTAACGGTACATTCACATTAGTCCAGCAAAAACACAACTCCCTGCATGGAGTTGCATTGGTCAGGGGGCTGAGGGGCTGCAGGGGTGTGCTGTAGGCACGTACAATATGGCCAGATTGTGATGGGTTGACATGAGTGGCTTTATTCATGTTTACAGCTCATGAGTTTCTGTTGTATTTTTGTTAGCCATGCCGCTAATGTAACCTACTCTACCACCAGTGTGTCGGCACTGATAGATTAAAAAAAACACAATTTAACACCCAATAAAAACAGAAATACATGCTGTGTTGTTGTGGTGCATTAATTGTGGCCCAAATTCCACAGTGAAAAGCAGTGAACGCTAATGCTAACAAGGTAAACAAAAGAGCCTCCTGCGCCATGGGCCTCGAAGTCCCCCTTTTATTCCCCATATGTGATCGGTCAACAAAACATTTTGCCAGATGATGTCACCTAGTTAAAACACTTCAAAATGCACCTGCACTAGTTTGCATTTTGTGACTTTCAGTCAAATAAAACACCTTTTTTCCAGTCAAATATTTCGTCATTAAAAATTTCTTAAAAATAGTGTTAAAATATCATCTGATCTTGTTCTTGTGAACCCAGTACTGTGTATCATCTTGTCTCATGAACTAACTGTATTGTCACACCCCTAGTGTACACTGATGATGGAACCTCCACTCTGCTGATTACCCTTATTATGCTTGTGTGTTGTCAAGGGACTAATATACTTGTTTACCTAATATGCATTTGTATCTTAAAAGAACATCAGCACAATCATAGACACACCCACCTCTTAAATGGGACTGCATTCCTCAAGGCTTTCTCCACATCAGCTACAGTAGCCCTAGCTAGTTCAGCGACAGTACAGAGCCCTTGTGCATAGAGTGATCTGGCTCGTGTTGCATTCAAGAGGGAAACCCTGACCAGGTCGACCAGCTCCCTCTGGACTCCAAAACTCAGCCTGGTCTGGAACTGGGACAACAGCAGCTCCATGTTGTGCCAGCCCAGACGCTTGCAGAACACTGTTACCATACCTAAGGAATGGCAGGATGAAAGGAAAGACTAATTGTTTCTGGAAGTTGCAGACCTGAGCATGTAATTTACAGACACTGAGTAATTATTAAAATGTTGCTTTTGCTTCTGGATTTCTTTAGGTTTCAACCAACCAATTACTGTGCAGCTTGCTTTGATCAGTCATTGATAATACACAGCATCATTCACAGGATGTGGAATCACACCCAGACAGCCTTGTTCTGAGCCACATGTAAGCATAACAGAACCCTCTCAAGGTAATTTAATGCAGGAAGCATGAGCACTTATGCATGATGGATGCATACGTGGCTCTGAAGAAAGCATGTTGGTGCAGAAACATTAGCTAATGGGATGATGTTTCTAGTGTACAGCTATCATTCTAAAGTGCTCTTGCTTTCTGCATCAAGTTACTATATTTGGTCCAGACACACACAGCCACTTTTCACTGTAAAATCTTATGTAGAATTCAAAGTCAGTATGTTCCACAGTGTAACATATCCTGTGTTGTAGACTCCCAGATGCTCTCAAAACCACTCAGTGATACTCTTAAGCATGTACCTGCATATGTAGAAGCAGACTGCTGAAGAGACTGTAACTGCCCACGATTGCAGTTGTATTTCAATGCAACTGCTCCCAAAGGTACCTCGTTCACCAGATCATGTAGCACGAGGGTGGTGAAAAACCTGCAAACAAAGAGAGCATGTAAAGGGACAAAAAAAAAAAAAAAGACCTAAGTGATTGAAACATTTTAAAAACTTTCTCTGTTGGTTGACTCTCTGGAGATAAATTACTGACTGGTTTTTTTTAGTGCCTGCTCTGAGTCACTTTTTAATCAGTGTTGAGAAACACTGCGTAAACAGCAAGAAGACACAATAGCACAAACATCTGGAAAAAGCAATGTCATCATGAACAATAACTACATATAAAGAACTATATACATAAATATAATATTCAAAAATGGAATATTCTATGATTCATAAAGGTTCCTACATGAGAAGAGATATTAGCCAATACTAAGATACACACTACATAGCATGTATAATTAACACAAGTATGTGCTTTACCGTTTGTGAACTGCCATCTGTCTACACTGCTTTTCTGTCTTGGCGACAAGTTTCCCGCTGACAGACCGTGCGAGAAAACCTTCCTGGACACCCACCAGTTCTGCTACTCTCTTCATTGATGACGAGAGCTGTTCCCATAGACAGAAGAAGTGATACCAATCTATGGTAGTCCACTCTGCGTACAACGGGGTGATCTGAGGAGGGTTTGGACATAAAATTCTGTTACTACACTTTTCTGTATGATATGTGTTTGAGGGGGGGGCACTTTGGGTCAAAAGAAAGTGTGGCTTGATTTAGTGATAAGATTCAAATTTAGTTACTACTAGCAAAGCACTGCTGAGGATTCAGGGACAGTGGAGGGCGACTAAAGCTGACAAACTATTAAACAAGTTATAATGCAAGACGTATACCAGATACAGAATGTGCAAGTCATTTTCCAGTACAATGCCCTTCATGGCGCGCTGGAGATCTGCGAATATTCCCAGAGCTTCAGGGGGAGAGAGGGAAGAGGACAGGGTGGCAGCACCAAGTTGAGTCGGACAGTACCGCTCATCTATCACAAAGATATACAATAGTTACTGTAATGGCAAAGATGAGAAAAGCTGATTTTTGATACTTTTAATAAAGTACTGTATGATGTATAACTAAAGGAAAAAAATTTGAGCATCTTTATTTTCATTACATGCAACTTCTTGCTAAATTGCAGTCAATTTTTAGGAAATAGCAGATATTAATTACTAGAGGTCTACTTCAAAATGTAGCAGTGATATCAAGTAAAGAATGGACATAGCACATAATAAGAGTAACAACTGTTGCAGTACCTTGTCCGTCCTTCTGGATACTAATAAATTCATTCTCCATCAGCCATTCAACACAGGCCTCAATAGCTCCTTTGCTGGTCTCTTCAATTAATTCATTTTTGCTGTCACATTTCATGCTGGCAGCCAGTAGAGAGCACGAAGCATATAATGTCACATCCTGTGGAGTGCTAGCTACACCGCCGACAATGATCTGCATGGTAGGGACAAATAAATAAATAAGTAAGGGACATAAAACAATTATGGAGTTCATTGGACAGAAATTTGTTTTGTCACTCTAATCTGACCATACATCAGCAGCCTCCATAGAGTGAAGTAGCTACTCTCCAAGGAGGAATTCCTCATAAACTATTTATAGCCCATGAGTCATTTCCATGTGCGCCAAGAAATGAGAGTATAAATCATACCTCTAGAATGGCTCGCAGCATGCTAGTGGTGACACCTTCCCCTTCCCTTCTCACCAGGCAGCTCCTGATTGGCTGAAGAGTACCCTTAAGGAGACAGATACCTTTCTGTCGCTCAGCCTCCTTACACACCAGGACACTTTCACCTGAAAGACGGCAAACATAACTACATAAGATCAAAGGAGTAACACTGTTTTTTTTTTTTAAATGCTGATCATATTCATTTGCTCTTGTGATAGTGATAATCAATTTTATTCTATGCCTTTTATTTCTTTGCCCTGTCTTTCTCCATACCTGTAGTGTCTACTCCTTTTCTCCCTGCTCTCCCAGCCATCTGTTTGTATGTGAGTGGGTCCAACAAGTGTCCATTGAATGTAGGGGTTCGAATAATTACCCTGCGAGCTGGGAGATTAACCCCTGAAGAAAGGGTAGAAGTGGCTGCCAGGACTCTGACCATGCCCTGACGAAAAGCTCCCTCCAACACGTCACGTTCATCAAATGTCAACCCTACAAAGAAAATACACAGTATAGACAACCTTTATCTTGTTTACATGCAGCCCGCATTTTGTTGTGGTTAACAGGTTGTGTTAGGTGTGTTCACCTGCGTGGTGGAAGGCCACCCCCCATGGCACAGTTCGCTGGAGGATGGGGTCTAGGCCAGCAGGAGTCCGTTTCAACTGCGCTATAACATCTACTAATCCTTCCTGGTCCAGACACACTGGCAAGGGGTCCATATCACCTTGAGCTGAAAGAAAGCCACCACAGTCTAAACTCTCCAGATATTTCTTTATACATATCACCCAGATAATGCATATTTTACTTTACATGACACTACAAACCAGGGGCCTGTACAATGAAGCAACAGTAGTGGCTTATGCAGCTAACTCTGGGCTCAGCTCAGGTTTTCTAGTACCACAAAGCTGGCTCACTTTTAATCAGTCTAGATCACCACAGTAACTTGTGCTACACAGCTAACCTGCTCGGGAGAAGGTTCAATTCAGAGGATCGGATCAAAACTTATCAAGTGCTATCAAGTGCCCAAACACTGACCAATCAGATCACTGGAAAAGCTGAGGGATCATTCCTACAGGCTCCTGACAGGGACAGAGTCAGCATTAAAGTGATAAATAGCAAATTGATATTTCTATAGAGCAGTCATATCGTGCTACTTCAGGCTTTCCTTGGGTCACTCTGATTTAAAGCAGAGTTTATAACAAACCTAGGGAGTCTACAGCCTACATGATGATCAACACTGTATTTGAAATGCACAAAGGTTAGGCTATTTGATTCCTGACTGTGATGATGGTATTTAGTTAAAAAAATAATCCATACATTGTTGAATGAGCATATGACTTGAGGTGTAACTCCTCTCCACTGCCCTCTCTTCTCTGCTCTGGCAGCAGAAACTGTTGGACATTTGTCACTTTTTTACTAACATATGTTCACAATAGTTTCTTCATCATCAGACAAAAAAAGATCAATGTCATTTTTTGCTCTGGCTATAAACAATTTTCCCCACGGGTATCACTGCTCCATCTCATATTATATTCAGTACTTCATTCATGGTTCTGGCAAAGTTGCTTCTAATTAACTCCACCTCTTTCACGAGCTGTAGCCAGATAGGAAAACCCTGATTTATCAGAGCCAGTTGATTAGCAAGCTTTGTGGTACCGGGTTATCCAGGATGCTCAATGTTAGGCTCAGTGAAGCAGGTACAGGCCTCTAGACTGTGTGAGATCACACTGCAACACAAAATACTTTTAAAAACAAGCAACAATTTTACCTCACCTCAGTCTGAAATTAAAAAAATGTGCTGAGTAGCTCATTTTACTGAAATATTTAAATTTTACACACCAGTACGCCTGAGGTTGTAGAATTCTCTGGCGATGCTGTCTGCCAGTTTTTCACACCAGTTCTTTGAGGGGCAGAAAAGCAGCACAGAGTGCCCCTCTCTCACTGTCTCATAGCACAAGCTCACTATGTGGTCATCATCACCCTTTAAGTAGAGATTACTGTCATGAGAGACTGTGCATCAGTCGTGATAACACACATACTGGATGATTTCTGGACTATACTCTGGCTCAGCTACCTTAATAATGTGGAGTGCAGGAGTGAACTGCCGGACCACAGACAGGTTCTTGTCATAGATGTTGCAACCCACTTTGAGATGCTCCTGCAGGGGTACAGGTCTGTAGTCTGTCTGGTAAAGTTCGGCACCTAACCAGCTAGCCAGGAGGGAGAGGTTAGGCAAGGTGGCACTCATTCCTATGATCTGTACACCCTCAGAAAGAGACCTGTAAAAAGAAATATTAAGACATACTTGTTAACTCATGTGGCAGAAGAACAGAATATTTAATAACTGTAAACACAAAGCAGACAGGCGCACAGACCCTGTGGTGTTCTGCTTCAGCGCAATGTAGCGGATTTTGGTTAAGAGCAGTTCAAGCAGGTATCCTCTTCCAGAATCTCCAACCATGTGCAACTCATCCACCACCACCATACCTAGTGGCACAGAAATAATACACACTTTCAAACTCTATGTTCTATTCGTGAACACACACAATAAGGGCTGCAATAAGTAATTATTAATCTAGTGTGTTTTTCCAATTAATCAATTTGTGTTTTAGTCTATGAAATTGCTTCATGATAAAATCTTGTTCTGCCCTTACAATACAACTTTGTGATGAAAACCTGCTGTGGATTAAGCTTGCTTCAGCTCAACACAAAATTATCTTGGATGTATTACCCAGTAGACCCATACTGTTTTCTTCAATGAGTCTGTTAATCAGAGAGTTGGCTTTTTCTATGGTGCAAACAGCCACATCCAGTGCTGCGAAGCCTCCGGCAGCTGAAGTGCTACCCATATATCCCTCCACACGAACTCCTGCCTCCACAAATACAGTCTACAGGTGTAGAGACACAAGTCTGTTAGTTGGAGATAAACACACACACAGATAGACATGACTGTGTCCAAAACAACATGCATGCATCCTTTATCAACCTCTTCCTCACCTGAAGGTAGTGCATCTTTTCTTTGGCCACAGAGACAAAGGGCAAAATGAAGAGAGCTTTTCTTTTGGTCTCTAACACACGCTTCAACATCAGCAATTCAGACACCAGAGTTTTTCCAGCACTAGTCGGGGCTGACAGTGGAGAATTCAAAAGTTAAAAATGAGCTAACTGTGACCGACTCCTTGAATCACTTTCTTACAACATTCATTTTCTTACCAGAGTATACCAGGTTACCCCCCTGCAGCACCTGTCCGACGGTGAGGCACTGAGCCTGCCACTCGAACATGCAAGTCACTCCATGTTTCTCGTAACATTCTAGTACAGGTTTTGGCAAACCCCAGCTGGATAACAGAAGCTTTTCAGCTTGCTCTGCAGGAGCACACAGGGCATTGCCTACAGTACAGCACACATAACATATCCCCTTTACACACTGCATTAAATCAAACTGTAAATGTAGAGTCATTTCAGAAAGTATTACTGTGTTGTAGATAAAATCACCATACAATCCAGTAAAGAAAGCTGAATACTTTCTGAAGCCAATGGATTGCAGTTAAATCAGACAAACTGGGCCAACAAGGTGTGAACTTTTAGGGATCAATAACACATACAGAAATAATAACAAAGGAATAAAATATAAGCCTAAAAGAAGGTTTTATGGGTGTGTTTAAAAGAATTCACCTGGCTGAGGTAAAGTGTCAGCGAGAGTACTGAGCTCTAATCCACTGGGGATAGTGAGCACAGAGGCAGATTGATTCTGTAATGACTGCTGAAGTCTGGCCCTCTTCATGGCAGCTGCCAGGTGTGTGGGGTTGAACAAGATGTAGTCTCTGGATACATCAAGATGTGGATCAGCGTTCTTTCTGGATTCACTTTCCTCGCTGCCAAGAGCAGAGGTCTTGCTTCTGGAAGTACACTTCTGCCTGATGAAACACAGCGATTAAATGAAACATTTCATTACAGAAAAGTTCAGATATGTCAAAAAAGCAATGTCAAACTCACATGGTGGAGTTGCCTGCCTGCTGACTGTTTTTTATTCCTTGACGTGATAGCTTGCTGATGCAGAGAGAAGCAGCCAGCGATTGGCCTTTTTCTGGGTCCCTCTGAGCCTCCTTTCCTTCCTCTGAGTCTTCACTGAAAAGAAGCTTCAGAACAATGTCTCTGCAATCCGCTGGTCTCTTACCATTAACATTACGCCCACACATTCCCTCCTGAGCCACGGGGGCTGTGTGGGTTCCTTGGTCTGAGGGTTGAAGAGGTCTGTTCCTCTCCCTCTTATTGTGTGCAGCTGGAGCAAGAGACCGTGACGGGGCAAAGGCAGCTGATGATGCTGACTCTTCCTGTGCATCTCTGTTTACTGTTGTTGGACAAGTGTTGTTAGCTGCATGCTTTACAGTGTCAACAGCATCCAGCACCTGTAGCATCTCTTCATCAAGACCTAAGGTGGATTCTCCTGGCAGGAACTCGGTTCCTCCACCCTAAGACAGATAACCATGTCTGTCATTTGTGAGCTACAGTATGCAGATGTGAAAGAGAGTCAAAGATGAAGAAGAAAGGGTAGGAGGAAAAACTCTCTCTCAAGCTGTCACACTTACCATGAGGTTGTCTTTGCTGGTGTTTTCTGATATGTTATTTTTGTCTGACAAATGATGGATTTTCTGCAACAGCCTGTCTCCTTCTGGAGGCCTATTAAGAGCTTGGAAGCTGTACTCAGAAAATATATGTTCATAACAGATAAGTGTTCAT